CAGCAGCAGCTTTCAGATATATGGACCCCTCCTTACACTTGGTCAGCCAGTCAGGCCCTATTTCAGCAGCATCACTGCACCTTGCTCTGCTCTAGTGAGGGTCAAACATCAGCATTTCCATTTGCCTATGCTCATGAGCCAAAACTGTACTGCAGAGGCCTGGGAAGGCTTCTTGGTACAGAGACAGCTCCTCTGGAACTAATGCACCTTGCATCAACAAAATCTTAATATTTCAGCAGGAACCAAGACTTCATGTGCTGGCCCTATTCCAAAAACTTGGGCTACTTACATCACATGCACTAGATTCAAATAAAGCAGCATTATGGTTTAGTTAATTTTTTCTGCTCCATATATCTCCACAGGCATAAGAAACAGGCTGCTGAATTTGAAATGGACCCTGAAGTTTCTGCAGAGCTTCACTTCCCAAAAAGCAAATATTTACATCCACTAGCACCAGCTGCCTCTTTTCTTTTTTCCATTTCATTTCCAGATGCATTGTTGGTACATCTGCTCTATTAATTAAAACTGATTTACACAAGACAAAATAGACAAAATTATTACAAGCCTTGAGTGCAAACGAGTGATGTCTAAAATTGCACTGACATATTCCAAAATTCCCATGTCCCATTTTTGCACCTTTCCTGCTTGAAAAGTGTTTTGCTCTGTTCAAATCCACTGGGCATTCCTAGAGCTGAAAACTAAAAGATATTTCAGCCTAACCTGACTCTCCTGAGTTGCTCTTAGCTCCTGCCACAAATGATTAACAGTGGGGAATGAGGGAAAGGCTGGTGATATTTGGCTGTTTGCTTTCATGATCTAACCATTTTTCAGGCTCATCTTTAGGAGAGCAAGGAGTGGTAATGTCATTTAGCTTCTGGCCTTAGCTGACCTGCCAGTGCATAGCAAGGCATAACCCAGCACACACCTGCTAAAGCAACGCAGTGCAGCAGCTCTGAGGAGCAAAGAGCTTCCCCACAGTGATGCCCACAGCCACAGGTGTCCTCCTTCCTCAGAGAGTGTCACTGGCCTCACTCAGGTTTGTCACTTCATCAGTGACCCAGTGGCAACTTCAGGTCAGGAGGGCTCCTCAGCAATGCTTGCCTTTCATTATCCCACTCTCTGAAAGGTGACATCTTCCAGACATGGCTCAGAAGGGCTTGAGGTGGGAAGGGGAAGAGAGGAGCACAGAGACAGCACAATTTCAATTTATGCCCCCCCTGGAGAAGATAACATCCCTCTGCCAACTACAAAGAAGGCTCTGTCCATGTTTTTCTGACGCTTTTTTGACACCCTGCTGGCCATTCCAACAGAACCTTGTCCTCACAGTCTCTGTAGGGCACATCAGCCACAGGGGCCATCTCATTCCCCACACCTTGATCCCAGCTTCAATTTCATCTCTGCTGTGAAAAGCCACAGAAGTGGAGTCCTTAAAACTCATCTACCTTCAAGGGAAAAAGTAAATATACAAGTTGGCTCCCAGAGCAGATGGTGTCTAAAGGAAATTATGATAATTAAGCATCCAAGTTGTAGATTTCCAAGGGACTATTCCACTCCAGCACCAGACCTCTAGGCCAGTGCAGCAGTTAAAAGTTTCACCACACTTTATTAATTGCTAATTACTGCTTCATTACTTCCACTCATGCTCCTGAGACTGCTGCTGTCACTGTTTCCTTCAGGGGTCACTTCAAAACTGCAGAGAGTGATGTGATGAGTAAGGTCAGTTAGTGAAACATAAACAGGGCTTCTCAGCTGCTGCATGTGCTCAGCCCAAACCAGCTCTGAGGCCTGTTACACTCACTAAGCACAGTTTGTCATCAGGATCCTACAAGAGGACTCAGAGTTTGTCTAATTTACAATTGTACATTTGTAAATTTATGCAATCTACATCTCTAACTTCTGTTCTGGCTCCCTTTTGGTAAATCCCACTGTCTCAGCATCCAGCCAAAGGAGCAGTGGCTGTCCCGCCTGTCCCTTCTGTAATCTAGTGAGGAACTAGTCAGAGGAATTCACATTTGAGTTTAATCCACTTCCTACTCAAACTCTTCCCTCGAAAAAGTCTGAGCAAATCCAGTCAGAGTCTGTCCCAAGTTTTTGCACACAGCACAGCAATACTGCTGGGAATTGCAAGTTGGACAATATCCAGAGCTTTGAACAGGTTTCCAAGTCTGAAAACAATTTTCAAGCACAGAACTTTCACAAAGCTACTCACATAATTAAGAGCCAAACTACTTATATGAATATAAATTTATGGGCTAATACTACCCTGTTTCATAACGGAAACAAAGTTAATTTGGGTTTTATTCAGTGCCAGTGCTATTAACTATGCATCTTAAGCATAACTGAACTTCTCCATAAATCTAAATTTTGTTAACATCCTGAAATCAATTACTTTGTGATTTATAGTTAAGACCATAGTGCTGACAATTATTAAACACCAGCCTCCTCTGGTGTTTCCACAAAAAGTGCAAGCTCATCCTAGGTGTGGACCAGCCTCTCTAGTGTTCCCAAAGAGCAAAAGAAAGTTTTTGAACTAGCTTTCCTTTAATTCCCAATACATTAGCTGGATCCAGGTTTGCGCTAACACTCAGTGCCAGTTCAAAGAGCTGCTGTGTGGTTTTCAGGTGTGACAACAAGCTTGTGCTCCCAAGCATCACCATTCCCACCAGCCAGGAATCCCACAGCCATCCCAGCCCCAGGTAATCCCAAACACATCCTGTGCTACTGATCCACTGCATGGAGGGCTCTCCCTGCTGTCTGCACAGCTCCAGCTGCAGGGCTGGGGACCATCAGCATCCCTGCAGCAGTGGAGGCAGGAGCTGCTCAGAGGACTCGCACAGTTCTGATGGCCCCACACTCCTCTGCTGAACACTCACCTGTCAGAGCACACCATTATTTGTGGGGACATGCAGCTATTCAGCAGCCACCTTGGAATTAGGTTTAATTGTGACCCCAAGACAGATTTCATTACATTTCAACTCAATGGTGTTGAGTTGTGCTCTGTCATCAACCTGGGGCAGTCAACTGATTATAAAGCAAGTATTTAATCACCTTAACCCTCTAGAGACTTAAATTAAGGCACTTCACCACAGTCCCTTTATTCCTTAGTCTTAATTGAGGTTTCATTACCCACTGGCTACAGGGTCATTGTTTTGAGGCACAGGTACCTGACAGCTGAGGACCTGGAGCTACCTCGGCAGGAGCTTTCATTTATATCAGGCAGCATTTGCTCATTCATCTCTCTGATACCCAGATAATGATCTCTGGCTTCAGCAACAAATAAGGTTTGAATATTGATTCACTTTCACCCTGCTATCCCCCAATCTAAACAAATCAATTCACCAGCAAGTGACAGGCACTTCTGCCTGCTATCCCCCAATTTAGATAAATCAATTCTTTAACAAGCGAGTCATCCCCATTTAGTAAAGCACTATGAAAATGCACTTCAATAAATCTCTTCAAGTTTCCTACAGAGGAAAAAATATTGTTTTAATATACAATTTCATCTTATTGTTTTAATAAAAGGAGCCATTAACTGTGGTGCTCTAGTGCAAGTTGTATTACAGGTAAAATTTCATCTCCCCAGTCCTGATGGGGGACACAGAGGACCTGACACAAGACAGAAAAAGGACATTTGTTAAATAGCTGTTCAGCCAGGGAGAAAGCTAATTTGCTTTGGGCTCAGTGCTTTGTCTTTGCTTTCAACACCAACTATTTGAACTCAAAAACTGCCAGGCATGCTAGCATATTAAGATCTATCAAAATTCAAATAAGATGCATAATCTAAATAATGCAGTGTATAAATTGACTTTAAGGACTGAAGAAGTTGCATATGCATCTTTTAAGGTCTGTAGCAGCAAAATGAAGACATCCATATTTTCCCTTTACTTTCCAATCTGCCATTTCATGTCTTTAGGCACTGTTTTTATATTGTTATATTGGGAATGCAAATATTTCATAAAACTTTTTATAAGCTTGAATACAATTCTAAGCATTTACATTTCCCTTAATTCAGTAAAACCATAAACCCATTAAACAGTATTTCCACCAAAATCAACATGACAATCCCCATAACAAGCACTTCCAACCCAGTCTCTTGTTTCAAGGATGCTTCCAAAGTCCTCATGTCCCCTGAAGAAAATTTTGACATTAACAACCAAAGTTTTCAGCTTCACTAAAACCAAGAGAGGCAAGGCTTTCATGCAGTTCAGCATCCATTCAACTCCAGTTCTTCCATAAAGATTTCCCCAAGAATCACCACTAGCTGTACAGAAATGAAAGTATCAGAACAGGATTCATTTCCTGCGTCATCTCACACCTCTAGGACAAAGAATGATCTTCCCCAGCTCTCTAATTTGGTGCTTACTTCCAAAGAGAAAGGCAATGGGAAAAACACATTATCATTAATAATTGCAATCAAAATGAGTTAACAGACAGTTCTCCAGACAAACTGGACAGCCAACCCAAAGACAATCACCTGGAACCCCTGGCAGTGCAGCAGAGCCAGCCCTGAGGAATAAGGCTTTTTCTCAATCACACCCCTTGGTGAAGGCAAGCAACTAGGATAAGAATAAATAATAGACTTTGCAGACAAAAGTACAGTGTATAACAACCCCCTCCTACCTGAGCAGTTGTCACAGCCAGGAGAAACTGAAGATCCTTAAGACAAAATCCTTGCTGCTAAGAGTTCTAGGAACCACAGAGGGACATGGGTTGTCAGGCTCAGTGACAAGGCCAAGGGAACTCTGTGCAGGCCTCCTCCACTGCTTTGACCACATCTGCAAGTGGAGTCTCTCTAAGCTGATAAACCGCAAAGTTAAAGTTAGAGAGAAATGAAGACAACTATACCCTTCACTCATGAAGCATGGATAAATGACAAGATAAGGAAAGCCTGGCTAAAAAAAAAAAAACAAACCAAAAGACATTTAAACCTTCCCAGACTCCCCTACTGCGTTTCATTGATTTCTTCCATATTTGGTAAAGAAACATGTAAACAGCAACACTGAAAACCTAAAATAAAAGGCTTTATTTTCTCCAAACAGCAGTTGTTTTCCCTTATTTTTTTAAAAAAAGTCTTTTAACACTTTCAACATTTGTCAATAAAATGAAAATATACAACAGCCATGTAAATCAACGTATCTTCTTCTACTTCAAAAATATATACATCCTTCAATCAAAAGCACACATTGAATACTTACAACACAAAAGCTTCATGGCTGTACAACCCAGAGGGCTCCCACACAAACCTGAACACACTTGTGTGCACAAGAAAGGCAGCACAACAACTGGTGAACTGTTTGTTCAGGTGGTAACACTTCAAAGCCTTTGTTTTAAGGATTTTTAGCATGGAAAGGCTGGCAAATCCCAGCAATTCCATGTTATGAGCCTCTCATGGCTAGTGGAAGTTTCCTGCATTTAAATGCCTCCTAAAGGCTTTGCTTGTTACAAGCCTAAGTGTCTACAGCCACTGGCTAATTCTTTTAGCAAATTTCATTCTCGAGAATTGAGCTCAGCTTTGGACCCATAAGAAGTCACAAGAGAGGGCTTGATGGCAATCCAAATTATTGCCTGAAGAGTAAGCAATGAACAGCCAGAGGCTGAGCACTTCTCTGGCATAAACAGCTCCATTTGATCCTTCTGTCAAGTGACTGAAGCGCACAAAGAACTGGAACTCAGGATATCAGCATGGCATTCACAAAACAGCTGCAAGAATGAGATGGAGAAACCATTATCAGGCTTTGGCAAGGAAATTTTCATCTCAGTCCTCACTCACTGAAGTGCTAAAGAAGAGGCTGATATTCAAAGGCTACGAGGTGAAAATTCAGAGGCTCTTGTTTAAGAATGATAAATGGGGACACATACCCATAACCACCACCACTTCATACCATCCAAAATGGTAAGGCAGGTTACACAGGATTTCCCCCATGCCACCATTAAGAATTAAACCAACTGTAAATTAAAGGGATATCAAAAGACAGTTTTTAAGGATGGTAATAGGAGGCTCTGAGGCTTATGCTCACTTGTCAGCCTTTGCTTCCATTGAATCAAAGATTCTATGTTATTCTGCATCCTGAAACACGCAGCTCAGTGGCCAGAAATCAAGGTCTGGCTTTCTTTTCTCCTATTTCCTACACGTACAATATGGTGTGCCTAGGATAGATAGCTCAAGACATCCTGCCAGCACCTTCAATGTCACACCAGTTTTGCATTAATGTTACCTTCACATTAACACCTTCTGCCTGCCTGTGAAACAAGGTCTAGCAGCAGCAACTCACACAGTTCTAGAATTATTTAAAGTGGAATGTCACTAGCCATTCGCTGCTGCTGAGCTTGCACAATCAGGTGGAGCTGTCTCTTTGCAATGGCCGTGTTTAAATCCCACAGAAACTCCAACAGCTTGCCCTGGAGGAGAATCTCCATGGGCACAAACTGCAGAACCTGCTGGGGAGAGTCTGTGTCCAGCAAAGAGCTCATGAGAGCATTCAGGTGCTGCAGGTACTGCACCACGGGCGCGGGGAGGCCTCGGAAGCCAACGCAGAGCAGAGCGGCGCCGCTCCTCAGGGGCTCCCGCGAGGTCGGGCACGCGAACGCGACGCTCCGGAAGCAGCGGTGCAGGATGAAGACCAGGCCAGCTGTGAAACGCGTCAGGCAGGAGAGAACAGGCAAAACCAAGGCATCTCCTGCTGTCAGCTGCGCCAAGGAATGCAGAACGCACTCCAAAAGCTGCTGCTGGTACTTTGGTTCTCCATCATACAGCAAAGAGAAGCTGAAAGTCAGCAGTGTGGATGCGTCCATGGGCTTTATCTCCATGCTGGGCTGGCTTTCTGTGTCACACAGGGTAGGAAAACCCACCACAAGGCACTTGAATTGGTCACTACAACTTTCATTTAGGACTTCCTGATGGCACCTGGAAAGATCAGACACTTTTGCCAGTATGAGTTCCCCAGGAAGAACTTCACAAGAGTGACAAGGCTGCAGCATTGATCTGCTTTTCAGCCTTCCCCCACCCAACTCCTTCACAGCTTCATTAAGATTTTCTAAGACCTGAACATCACAAAATGGAGAACACTTTACTCTGGGCAATCTTTTTCCCTCCAAAATGTACCAAAAGCTACATTCAAGGTTAGCAAATGATCCTTCCAGGACACACATGTTCCCAGCATTATTTAAACTATGTTCCTCAGCCCAGTGATTAAAATAGCCCTTTGCCACTTTATCATTCCATGTCAGGGTTTCCATCATCTTCCTTTCATTGTATGTACTAAAATATTTGTTTCTTTGTCCAAACCATTTTGCATTCATGCTGCAACCAGTCTGGGATTTCTTGACAAGCCAGTTATTTCTGCCAATGGGTTTCAGGTGGAACTTTTGCATGAAGAACTCTACTGCACAGTCTCTTAACTTGTTCAGTTTCACCTGCTCTGCTTCATCCATGTGCTCAAAAAGACGGATATTTTCAGAGATCGTTTCTACCTGGCACTTGTAGAAAAACATGCAACACTCTTCATGTGTTTTTAGGAATGATTCTGGAAGTGTATGCTGGGAGAAGAGAGCTTTCTTGACCATTTCTGTTCCAAAGTTCTGTGTCATTTTAGGAAGAAGCAGATGAAGGCTTTCTCTGCCCATATAGCGAAGGCAAACCACATAGGCCTCTGAGTTTCCAGCTTTGCTTGTGGCTGGTTTAAAGACATGGACCTCCTCAAAAGAGCAGTTTAGCAGAAAGAGCAGGTTGATAGAACAGTGTTCAAACAGAGTGAACATCTTCAAAACAAAGGATCCTCCAGTGCCCAGGATCATTAAAGCTGTGACTGTTTCACAGTAATGAAGGGGTGAGACAAGAGCTTCCTGCTCACCTGGATTCCCCTGGCAATCAAAGCTGCCATCAGCAGTTACCAAGTGGACTGTGGTCATATTACTCACAAAGCTCTGAAGTCCTGTTAGATGTCTTAATGTCATCACATCCCCAGTGTTATCTGGGCCAAAGTACCACCAAGGTAACGTGTTTGCTATCAGACGGTCATCCATGATCATCATAAGGATGTCATTGGCTTCGTGATAAGGGTTTAGAGTATTTGCTACCCAATTCCAGTGGCAAGGGACATGGTGGGACTTCAGGAAGTGGTTAAGGCTGGCTATAAAAGCTCCAGGTGCTTCACAGAGGTGCACAGAATTCAGTTCTCCATCTTGAAGAGCTTCTTCTGGGAGAAGAGAAAAACTGCAAAGGATCTCATGAAATTTGCACCATGCCTGGGTACAGAGCTCAGCATTCACAGATTTCTTCACATGAGATATTATTTTCCCTGCTTTATTGGTAAATGAGGTGTGCTGATGCCAATCTTCCAAGTTCTTATCACTCAATTGGTTCTTCACTTCATTCATTGAGTCCTTCAGAGCCAGGAGTGAGTGAAATTCCACATGATCACATGTAAAAGCATTGCTGGGATCTGGCAGCTTCCATTCATCATTCACTGGCTTAGTGTAAGTAAACTTTTTCTCAAAGAGCTTCTCAATTTCAGAAAGAATTTCAGGACTGAACTTTTCAAGGCCGGTCTTCTGGTTAACATAAGTCTGCTTACATTTATCCATTCTTGGGTGGACTCACAACCTGGACAACATCAGGGGAGAAGAAACCATGTCATTCAATCACACTAGTACAGAAATAGGAAAAGCTTTTTGTAAAAAATAAAAATGTGTCTTGCTTAACAGCTATATTCTAGAACAGAGGTAAATGCTTCATGCACCAATGAGGAATGTAAATGAGGGCTATCCTGAATAAAGTCATTTGAAAATCAGGAAGTTCACCAGTTCAATTGCCCTTCTTGCTATTTACACAGCAAGTGAAGAAGAGTTTGCTGGTGCTTAGCCCTTCACTGACTCTGAATATTCTGCTCACTGTATGGATCTAAACGCTTAAATACAAATATCTCTCTCAGCCACAAAAGAGAACATACCACAAGCTCTCCAAATTCAGCAAGTGGCCCAGAAATGTTATCATATGATTGTGGCAGTGTTTATCTGAGAGCTCTAAGTATGGAGGGTGGGGAGCCACAAGCAAAGGCAACTTTGAGAGGGAGCACAGCTGCTGCTCCTCCAATTTCCCGACTAGGAACAACCCTCCCACCTCTTCCACCAGAGCCAGTGTAATGCTGGGGTAGCCCTCATTGGCACCCTCAAGAACTGCCCCTCAGCTGAAGGGCCCTGGAGGGATGCTGGACATCAGCCAGTGAGCAAAACCTTTCCCTTCCTCTGCTCAGCATTACTGCTCTCTGCCAGATGACTGCAAACCCTTATGCCTTCCTTTAATGACTGAAAAAGCTGTGATAAACCTGAAGTGAGAGGACTTGATTGCAGCTGTGGTCAATGGGAATATGTGCTTGATGTTAAAGAAGCAAGCAGTGCTAAGTGCTGTGGGTAAAGGCCAACAAATACGAGCACACTCCACACAAAGCTGACGAGGCTGCTGCAATCTGCTCCACCGCTCAGCACAAAGCACACAGCACACATCTGACAGGCACTAACCAGAAATCAGCCAGCCAGCAATTTATTCCAAACTAAAATGTTCATTTAAGCAAAATAATTCAATCAAAATTACCACCCGAGATAGGCTGAGAGATTTCCTATCTCTTAAACCATCCCTCAAGCCCTCCCCTTCCCACAAACTCAAAATACAATGACCTTCAGTGTTACATAACAAGGGAGTTTGAGAAAATAGTGGATTAAAACTGAAAGAGCTGAGAAAGTTTGGAAACAATGGCCACCCTCAGCACTTTACTCTTCCCCTCAAACCCATGCAGCATTTCAGGCCACTGCCCACGTTGGTTTGCCCTCATCACTATCAGCCCTCAGAGGAGAAGAGAGGCACATGGGCACACACAGAGCAGAGGTTTCATCTTGCCTTTCCTCAGTTTAAGACCTTTCAACAGGCAGGTTTAATTTCATTGTCCTCTACGCAGATGGGCTCTGGCCTTAATCTCATCCTTTCTTGTAGGATGTTCTGGGTAAAGAGGAAAACTGTGGAAAACACAGACCACTGCGCCCTTGTGTAATTTATTTCAATTTAAACAGCAAGTATGAGTATGGGCTTTTAATTACAGCTCACCCTAGTTATTCATAGAAGAGGTTTGGAAGGGACCTTAAATACTATCTCATCCCAAACCTCCTGCAATGGGTAAGGGATACCTTCCACTAGACCAGGCTGCTCAGACCTCCATCCAACCTGGCCTTGGACACTTCCAGGGATAGGGAAGCCACAGCTTCTCTGGGCAACCTGTTCCTGGTCCTTACCACCCTCACAGAGAAGAATTTCTTCCTAATATCCAATCTAAATCTCTCCTCCTTTAGTTTAAAAACAGTCCCCCCTTGCCCCATCACTATCTGCCCCTGTAAAAAGTTACTCCCCTTATTTTGTATATGCCTCTTTTAAGTACTAGAAGGGGCTCTAAGAACTCCCCAGAGGGTTCTGTAAGGCTGAACAACGCCAGCTCTCTTAGCCTGTCCCAGAGGTGCTACAACCAGAATACTAACAAGCTCAACCCTAAATCCAAGCTCACTCAGCACATAGCAAGAACAGGCAAGCGCCTGCCTTTTCATCATCATTTCCAGACTCCGGGACATCGTTCCGGCCAGGACCGGGCTCTGGGCTCGCCCCACCGCGCAGCTCCTCACCCATCCCCGCGCTCCGCTCCCCGCCTCGGCGCGGCCCGGCCGCCTCCCTCCGCCCCGGCCGCTCGTAGCGCCGCGCCCGCCCGAGGCGCCTCCCCGCGCCGCCCGCTCCCTACGCGAGGCCGCGGCTGCAGCGCGGCCTGGAGCCGCTCCCGCTCTTACCCGGCGGGAGCGCGCCCAGCCCGGCCCCTCGCCCGCCCGGCACGCCCTCTGCTCGGGGGGCACCGCCCTGGCCCGGGCCGGGAGGGCTCTTGCCGCTGAGGCTTTGCCATCAGCAGCGGGGGTGGGTGAGGAGCAGCAGAGTCCCGGCAGGCCGGGCTGGCGGCAGCGCGGCTCCATCTCCTAAACAGGTGCCCAAGCGCGGCTGTTTCTCAGGAGGAAAAGGGAGCAGAGGAGCCGCCTCCGAGCAGTGGGGCAGCCCGGCAGGACGGCGTTGCTAGAAGTTATCCGCGCAGCACTTACCAGCGCTAACGCTGACAGGTTGCTCAGGAAGAAAAGAGGAGAAAGGCTGTGTGGGGATGTGTGGCCACCCGCTGGAGAGGCAGGGCTGGGGCTCAGCGCCCTGGGTGTTTTTTGCCGACGCCCTGGGCCGCCTGCCCTGGGAGCCTGAGCCCGGTGCGATCGTCTCACAGCCCTGCAGGGACCACGGCTCAGCAGTGACGCTTCTCCAGAGCTTGCTTTGCCCTCTGGAACCCATAAGGGGACTCTTCACATAGTAACCCACCTTGCTGCCCTTTCTAAATCCCCGGGAGACTTGTTACACCCAGCTTGGGTTAGCAGGAGGCAAGAGCCTTGAAATATTAACAGAGTCATAATGAGCATCACTGAGCATCCATTTTAGCATCCCTGGAAACACACAGACGCTTTAGACAGCAAAACAGCATCTAATCTGCACACAGGAGCAGAAAGGTCAAAGCATATTCATTATTACAGTAGACAGCAGGTGCAAGTTGCTTTTGAGGCTTCAAATATTACGGGGATTTTCCTATATGCAGGTTCAGGAACGTGGCACTCCCCAGCCCTTCTGGGAACAAATAGCCAACAATGGAGCATGAGTAAGCAGAAATCCTTTTGCTTTAAAATGAGGCTTCCTGCTATTGATTTTTGCACTCTCACATACTCTTCATGAAGCTCAATCCAGTCCTAAGCCAGAAGTAGTTTTGCTACAGAAATTCAGTGCTATCAGTACTAGGTACTCCAGAACTGGTAACTTGGGAAAATTTTGCTTGAAGCCCAGTAACTGAAAAAAAACCCCAACCCTTTACGTGTTCATCTTAAGAATATAATAATGTATACATAAGGGATCTTTTCTCTCACTCTAGGTACATGAGAGAATTTGTATGGTTAAGTCATAACTGAACACAGGGATTTATAACCAGACAACTTTCCTCCCCTCTTTTAATCTACTTGCTTGCTTTCCAAAATGAAGCAATATTACAACAAAATAGAATCTTAAGTACAGAAAAAGCCCAGTGCTGCCTATAAACAGGAACACAGGACTAAAACTCTATAAACCCCTTTAGGGGGGGAAAAAAGAGAGAATGTCTTTTTCAAGCCAAATCATGTCATATTGACCCCTAATAGTGGTGCAACAAAATGGTACTTACTGGTTGCCTCATCAGAAAGAAGTTTTACCTAATGAGAAACAGCTGAGGTGCAGATGGAAGATTTCTCTGTCTCAGTGCCTCTTCACCCTTTAACTGGCCTGTTTGAAGATCACCTTTACTCAACCAAGATTTCTTGCTATGTAAAAGTAGAGGGAGAGCTGGGGCAAAATGAATGAAAGCAAGTGGGCAGCTGGTGAGGTGTGGAGCTGAGGGTGTGGTGGGTTCTCCAGTGCCTGGTCTGGTCTCTCTTGATAATACAGGGCGCACACAGTAATGGCATTGCTAAAATCTTATCTTTAGCTCATGAGAATTTAAAGTTATGGGGAGGTCAAAGGCATGTTACAGTCTGAAATGTTTGTGTTTGTAGTAAAAGCCTGAGCAGAGCTTTCCTTTAGTTTTGGCTTTCTCACTGATATTTCCAGTGGTGCTGGGATGTTTCGGTTGCCTTCCTTCTGTTGTTTCTGCATACTCACACACCAGCCACAAGGTCTACACTGGCTGACTTCTGTGCTCCATAGGTAATTAAAACATTGAGTTTAAGGGTTGATTTTTAAAAAATTTCTTACACACATCACTTTTCACATGTTCTTGAGTGCTTGGATAACCCTTCCAAAAGAGCAGCTACAATTCAGCTCGTAGGGCAAAGTGGTCTGCAAGCAAGGCTTGACCTTTGCATTTCTACCCTGCCAGGCTTTTACTGTAGCTTGCAGCTTCTCAGTGTCACACTCCCCTGGACTCCTGGAGATAAGGCTCTTCCAAATCACAGGAGAGAACAATTCATCACTGAGCGCATGACAGCACAAGAGTCCTAGCTAAAGTAAATGTGATTGAATAGCGCGCTTAAGAAAAATGGGATGCTTTTTCTGAAATTAAACTTTCAACTCAGCTTGTGAGCTTCAAGATTCTTCCATGTTTTCTGAAATCTCTTCAAGTTAAAGCAGAAATTTGAGTGGACACTTCTGTCTTATGCAAAATAATCTCTCTTTTTTTGCTGTTGTTGTTATTGTTGGTTGTTTGGTTTGGTTTTTTTGGTCCATGTAAGGTACTTAAAATGAGAACATAGCACTTTCTTCCTGCATTAGCACTGCTTCTATGGAGCTAAACTTTTATCAGCTGATCTTCAGCTGATATTTTCCCAATCAGACTGTATCCTCTGTGCACAGCTGTGCCACCAACAGCCCCAGATGGAAGCATCTGTCTTTAAGGGAATATTGGGCAGTTAAACATAGGAAGTTAAACATCTCATTAAAAACAAAGTAGTAGTTTTGTTTATGCCCCTGATTTTTTTTCTTTTGTAGATATATGGTATAACTCTACTATGTGATGGAGCTGGGGAGATTGCTGGGGTGTTTGGGTGTTTGGGAGCTCTTTCCATCATACTGGATGTGTGCAGGGAGTCATCTGGGAAGACTATGCTGAGCCATGGAAGAAACTTCCATAGATTCCATGGGATACCCAGTACTTCTCACCCTGCTTCTAAAGATCAGTCCCAAACCCATATAATTTTGCACCAGATCTCACCATGGTTTTATTTATCACTGTGCTGGATGCAGGGTATTTGTCAGTTGGGATGATAACATTGGTATGGCAGAGCAGTTGAGAGCAGGCTCTCAGTGAGACATGAGAAGAATTACCCACAGTGATTATGTGGATGATTATGATTAGATTTATTGCTAATAGAGTATCTAAATTAAACGGTGTGGTATGTAAATCACAACACTCTTGTCTATTGCAATGTGGTGCACGATGCTGGGACAGCTGGTTGCCCTTAAGGAGGTGGATTTCCATGACCTTGGGGACTGATCTGTAAGGGCCATTCTTCTTCTGCTTCTGACTTGCAGTCCAAAGCCAGGCAGATTTTTGTTTCACTTTCATCACCAGAGGAATTGCAGCCACTATCTGCTGCAAGGAAAGTGAGTTGGGAAACTCCAGTAAACAGTGTCTGACGTAGCCAGTTGGTAAAATGACGTACAATTGTCTAACCTTTGCTTCTTTAAACAAAAAGTCATTGAAATGAAAGGGAAAACCTATCAACTTTTCAATAATGTGTTATTGCACCACGGACAAGATAATGAGGAAGTATTGATCCTGTTGGAACAGCACAAATACATCCTGACAGACCACAACTAGCAGTGGTAGCATGTTCACCTACTGACCTCCAGAAATCAGTGTTTTCCAAAGGGGGCTTTGGGGAAATGAGGACATGGTCCTGAGACCTAGTGATAGATCTGGCATTTCACTGTGTGAAAGTATTATCAATTATTGAAGAGGAAACCAGACCACAGAACAGGATAAACTTTGGTCCTGTGTTGTTTTGGCATGAGTAAGTGACATTCCTAGGGAGAAGTCATATTCTTCATATGGAGAAGCATCTTGGAGCCCCAGGCCAGCAGCTGGCTGTGGTGCCAGGATATGAACTGCATTTACCTGTGTTGAATAGGGAAATATATCTATTGTCAAGGATTCTTAGTGATACATGGAGTTGTGCAGTATAATTTAATTATCTGAGAATTGTTTTCTTCTGTTGACAGGCCTGAAAGCATTTCTTCCTTATCCCTCATAATTTTTAGTTCAAGTTATTTGTGTTTATTGTAGTCCACAGGGGTACCTGGCCTTTTTTAGTCTCTAGTCCATCAGGATCTGGGGTTTCTTTTCCACTTATTCTCTCTAAGGATTGTTTCAGCCCTCCACCACAGTTTCCCCTGTACTCTCTGATTTTTTGCCTGCCTCAAAGCACTTCCACATTGAAAAGCCCATCCTTTCATCCCAATCTTGACATACTGCTGATCCATGGTTGTGCTGTTTGTGTCCCTTCAGAAGGTTCAACTCCTTTCCCTCAAATCCCCAAATAATCCTTTTTATACTCTTTCTCTCTAAGTCCCTTGCCACAGGTGCTTTTGCTTCCACAAGCTCCCATAGCCACAACCCCAATCTTACCCTCTGCTGTTTGATACATCTCCCAGAGCTGGAAGATGGAAGTGTTGGCTGGTATTAGGACATCTCTGCTCTTTTACTGATTTTTGTGGTGTCATTTATTCACAGGTTTTGTCAAGTTGCTTCCTCTTTCTTCCTGAGTCTTATGAAGATGGTGAGGTTTTACAGAGCAGGCATATAATTTGTGAGTGCTGTGGCTGCTTCCCTACCAGTAAACATCATAAACCCTTTGCATTGACTGATCTCTGTCCTAAAAGCCTTTTCCCACTGCCCTCACAGGAGGGCTATTTAGGACTGCACATTTTGGCCAGCTGGAAGCTTTTTTCTGACGTCTGGCCTAACTGAACACGCATCTCCTCGGTTTCCTGCTGCCTGTCTTAAGTTTCTGTATCTCTCCTGCCTCCATGGCAACATTTTCAGGCTGTCATGGAAGCATTGCTTTGCTCTCATTTTGCTCAGCTAACCATGACAGGCTCTTTGAACGTCTGGTTTTCTGTTCCCCTGGCCAGCCCTTTGCTGCATTCGCTGTGGTCAGAGGTCTCTTTCCTGTCAGTGTACAATGAGCAGTATGCTCACCACTCCAGGCAGATCTTGGTAGAGATTGTTATTAAAATGATCTGTTGGGGGAATAACTTTTCTGGTATATAATTCAATTTTATCTACCTTTCTTGTGGCTAGTAACACTCCAGTGGCTGTCTGGATAGCTAGTGTACAGACAATAATGAGTTTTCCAAACAAAGCCTTTCCAAATTGCTGCAAAATTCCTGATTAATTCTTGGCAGTAATTTTTAATCAAACCTGGAGCGTGTGCTTTTGGTAGTCAGCAGAAAAGCAAAATCTTTGCAAGCTTTAGCCATTTCACCTTCCTCCAAAACACTGAGGCACAATCCTGGCTTTTTTAAGTATGAGAGAATTGGGAGAAATGCCCCACCTGTAAGGGCATGGTAATGCCTGTAGTGCTTTGGGGGGATATTTTCTTCTGGGCAAGGCTGTCCCCACTGTGTAGACACTCTGTGAATATTTCTGCAGCTCAGTTCCTCTTCCCAAAAGAGTGATGTGCAGTAGGTGTGAGAAGACTGCAAAATAATTTGATACAGTGATAATGTCAGCACACAGGAAAGTGGAGACTTACCCTAAAGCATTAATTAAATGTTTTGATGAAATGCTTGCAAAATACTTCATGACGCTTCTTTAGATGGAAATTGCTGTAGGAATGTACAGCATTGTTAGAAAATTATTTCAGGTGATTGTATCTGCATCCTGTAGCAGTTGAAGTTCTCACTATGGAAGCAGGGCTTGACAGACAGCCAAGGCAGTAACATCAGGATTATAGATACAAATTGCTGCAGACTACAGACAGAGACAACTGAGATTCCTTCAGGACAAAAGACTCCCAATAATTTTTTTCAGCATTATGCAATCTATTCAATACCTTCTTTTTCTAGATAAATCTGATTTGGAGCATTCCCTGCAGTCTAATTGGCATGAATGTCCTCAGTGCTCAAATTAATTTTGTCCTAGTAGGGTGAACATTTATCTCTTACTTGTCCAGCCAATGCACCATTACAGGTTAAAACTCAAGTAATTTCTGTTGCTGTTAAATAACCAACATTGCATAAAGATAGATAAAATGGCCCCTTTTTGATAATCCTGTTTTCCATGTAAATCCAAACTAGGAAGGAGATTGTCTTAGATGAGAGCAAATTGGGAAGAGCTCTCAGGCTGTCTGATCTCTCTTGACTGCTTTGCAAAAAAAGAATCAGATTAATGAATATAATCAGATTAAGGCTGAAGAAGGGAACATATCTGGGGGGCATCAGAACTCTGCTGATACCAACAAGCTCTATGGAAAATCAACATTAAGGGCCTAACATTGCTTTGTAATTTAATTTAATGGCAGCAAATAATGGGTTTCAAAGAAGTCCCGAGTAGTGGCAAGAGGAGCCTGGACTTCCAGAGGACAGAAAGACTTGAGTGAGCTGGTAAGTGGCTCTAAGACCCTGGGTTTGAGTGAATGTTGCTTGGGGTGCTGGTGACTTCCAGAATCCTTTGGCACGCTGGCTCACAGCCAAGCAGTGTGGGCCCTCTTTGGGCACAGGGTTTGGTGCAGTTAAATCTACCTAAAACCATCTCTGCTCTCAGTCTGCTGTGTTTTGTACAGAAAAACAATGCTGAAAAAAGGAGGATATACCTAGAACAGGCAGAGGCAGATATGGCCGAGATTCAGAAG